TATTAACTTTAATCCGTGGTAACAATTCATTAGATATTAGTTAATTTTCATATAAAATTTTGTTACCAATTAAGATTTATTAATTTTTTTACTAATTAATTAATATTCATATTAATTTGGGCTGGAATGTTGTAAATGAAAATTTTACTTTTATTAAAGTCATTTCACTAAGAAAATTAAAACTAATTAAAATAAATGTAATCATGCTATATTTATTTGTAACTGTATATTAATTTCATTTTGAAATCATTGGTTCATATATTTGAATTATTTATTTTTTCTTTAATTATTCTTGTTGTAAACATAAATGATATTGCAATAATTAATTTATGATATTTATCAAACTTTATTTTTTTAAATATAAAATTTTCTCATGTTTAGGGATTAAAAAATATTTTAAAATTATTTTTTATTAGTAAGTATTTTTATTTTTAAAATATTTTCCAGCAACCCAAACACTCTCGTAGTCTCTAATAAAAAATTAAAAAATAAAAGTCATTTCATTAATAAAATTAAAACTAATTAAAGTAAATCTAATCATGTTATATTTATTTATAACTATATATTAATTTCATTTTGAAATCGTTGGTTCATATCTTTGAATTATTTTTTTTTTCTTTAACTATTATAAACATAAATTATGATATTTATCAAATTGTATTTAATATATATATATATATATATATATATATATATATATATATAACATTTACACATGTTATGAGGGGTTAAAAATATTTTTAAATTATTTTTTATTAGTATGTATTTTTATTTTAAAATATTTTCAGCAATCCTAACACTCCATCAGCCTCCATAAAAAATTGATAAAGAAAAGTCATTTCTTTAAGGAAATTAAAGTAAATCTATTGATTTTTTTAATTATTATAATTTATAAACAGAAATGATATTGTACTAATTAATTTATGATATTTATCAAATTGTATTTTCAAAAATATAAGATTTACACATGTTATGAGGGGTTACAAAATTTTAAAATTATTTTTTATTAGTAAGTATTTTAAAAAAAAAATCCAGCAACCCAAATACTCCCTAGTCTCCCATAAAAAATTGATAAAGAAAAGTCATATCATTAAGGAAATTAAAAATAATTAAAGTAAATGTAATCATTCTTCCAAAAAGGCTGAATCCGAACTCTAAGGGCCCCCCACACCCCGGCCCGACAGAGCATTTGGGAGGAAAAGTAAATGTAATCATGCTATAATTATTTGTAACTGTATATTAATTTCATTTTGAAATTATTGGTTCCCATATTTGATTTTTTTTTTTAATTATTATAAACATAAATGATATTTTACTAATTAATTTATGATATTTATCAAATTGTATTTTTTTAAAATATAGTGTTTTACCCGTGCGTTGCACCGCAATTTTTTTTATTATTATGAATTTAAAATTAAAATAGAAAAATTAAAAAGATGTTAAAATGTATAATATAATAATATAGTTGGACTTTTATATATTTGGTCAAATATCTATTTTCATAACATACAAAATTTAAATTTTTTATGGTTAATATAATCTCTAATCATGCATGTACATATTTGGATAAATTTATAGGAAAAATTCATATAATTAAGTTGATTTAATCCAAATTTTATTTCATATATATTATAATTCTAAAAATATGAATAATAATAACTAAGAGAATTGTACTTAGAAATCGATAAAAAAAAATGTAAATTCTAAATTTTGTATGAATAAATATAAACTCTAATCGGACGCATATCCTTATATGATTGTATAATATATTGTATATACACATAATATTTATTAATATGTATATATTGGAAAATCCTATAATATAATTTTATTAATTATAATTTATATTGATAGATTTATACTTAAAAAATTATATTTAGAAATTAAAATGTTTATGTGTGTATATTTAAAAAAAATTATAAATATCCATGTTTTGTTAATTTTATAATTTTATTTCTTTAATTATATTTCATATTTTATTAATTATAATTTAATGAAATTGTCACAAATATTTTTATGGAAAAAATCTTATATTTCTCAATTTTATTAATACGGAGTATATTTTATAATTTAATATAGTGTTTTAACATTGCAATATACTCCGTAATATTGATCATATTGAGAGAAATAGTACTATTTCGAAAAACATGATTACAATATATAGAACTTATTTTCATTTTCAAAAACAAAACAAATGAACAAGTCTAGTGAAATTTATGGTTAACCTGACAATTTGGTATATAGCAAATTTGCATGACACTATAAAAAATCAAATTTATTTACAAAAAAATATGTATGTATTAACTTATCAACAAATTCCCATAATGTCATACGGTGGCTTAGAGAGTCTAGTCCAACATTTTATCATTAAAGCATGGTGTTAACTAGCTACTACGTAAACATAAGGAAATAAAGTTATACATTTACTACTAAATACAACTTTTGTATGTGGTGATATTAAGCCTTTGATCTAACAATTGATATCAGACTAACATTTATGCCATCTATATATAAATATTTAAGTTGTAAATATTTAATATGTTATTAATTTTGTAGGTATTTTGTTATTTTCTTGTAACAGAATTTTATCTTTTTTAATGAAAATTTGGCTTAGAGTTAGTCGGTGGTGGAGTGTCAGCTTACCAACCACACCAAACCCATGGAATCTCATATACATGCATGCTAGTTATGTACATGAATGATTTTAAAGGAATAAAGGATGGTATTAGTGTGATGTTGATTGTTTAGCACTCCACAAAATGATAATTCTCACCGGTCCATCATGGCATATTTTTATAGAAGGTTACAAACTTACCATATTACTTAATTGACTTTTTGAAACATTATATTATAATAAATTAATAATCCAACTTAAATCATACAAAGTTTGCTTAATTAACTCAAACAAGATTCACTTTTAAAAAAGCTAAGTTGTTTAATTAACTCATCAAAATTTATGGGGTCGTTTACTTCATTTCTCTGTTTTTCCATTTCCAGTTTTCTATTTCTCCAGTTTTCCTTCTCCATTCCTCCAATTTTCCATTTCTCTGTTCCTCTAATTTTTCATATTTCTAATTTTTGATTTTATTAAAAACAATAATCCCATATAACATTTGTACATTTCTACAACAAAGATAATAATGATAACAACAACAACAACAACAACAACAACAATAATAATAATAATAATGATAATAATAATAATTTAATAATAATAATAGTAATAATGATAATAATTTAATAATAACAACAACAAATTTGTGTACATAAGGAGGAGGAAAAGGGAAAAAGGAAAAAAAAAAAGATAATAATAATAATAATAATAATAATAATAATAATAATAGTAATAATAATAAGAAGAATAAATTTATAATAATAATAATAGTAATTAGCAAGTAGCAATTAATAATAATAATAATAATAATAATTAGTAATAATAATAATAATAAGGGCACGCACAGGGAACGAAAAAAAGAAGCTAGCTGCCTAGCTTTGAGGTTAAAACAACGAACGTGCAAATAATGCTAAGCGCAGGATTCGATACCAAGACCTCATCTTTAGCACTATTCACGCGTGTCCATCCCTCCATTTGGAGAACATCTATTTTCCTTTCTCCAAAATTGTATAGGAAGTGGAAGAATGGAGATAGAGATTAAAATTGGAGACATAAATTTAGTAAACAAGTTTTTCAATTTTCCTTTTTCCACTTCTCCAATTTTCAATTTTTCCAGAAAATCCTCCATTTTTCCAAGTTAGTAAACGACCCCTATATGTTTCATTATCTATATTGGACTATTATATTATTGATTGATAATGGCAAAAAGTATTAAGATAATTCTAACTAATATTCAAATTAAATTTTAGATTTTTATTAATTTAACTGATTATTAGTTTAGATTTTTTTATTGGAATAATATATTTGAACCTTAAATTGTAATTTGTAAATATAATTATAAATTATATATTAAATACCGAAGCAATAATTAATAAATTTATTCTGTGAATACTAAAACTTTCTTGGAGGTATTGGATAGTATTCATTCATGCTATATAGTAATTTTAATTTATTTATATACAAGGACAACAAAAATATGAAACAAAAAACATAAAAATTTCTACTATCTGACCTCAATCTAATTAGCACGCATATTAGTTTTCGTTTGACCATTTTTGACATGGGGGTGATAACAGATATGATATTTTTGAGTTCTCGATCGGCCGATGCCTTAAAGCTCGAATAAGACATTTTTGGCTAGTAGTTAATTGAGCTCAGAACAACAAAAAATAATACCAACCATGAGTTTTGATTGTACTGAAGCATCCATACTCGATACCTATTTATATATATAAAATGCCTAGAAAATATTGGTGAACTCCATCAATATTTTTTCAACTTATTCTTTATAATTTGTGAGGGACTTTTTTTTTTTTTTTTTAGGAAAAAAAATATGTTTCCATTTGAAAAACACAAGATTCACATGAATACATTTGTTTCGATCAATAAACACGCCAATATATAATTCATGAACTTGTAATGGTATGTTTTTTGCTTTGAGAAAATAAAATAAAATAATAATAATAAAAATCGGGAAAACCGGACAAGTAAAAGGAAAACGAAAATATAGGGAAAAAGTGGGGGCCCCACGCAGCCGCTTTATCAATAGATCGCCGCCGGCCTATGCGTCCCTCTCCACGTGGCCTCGCCGTTCCGTTAAGGCGCCGTCAGCCGTCGGCAACAGTATCCCATTACGGAATGTCTCATCTTCCCTTCCAACTTCCAACTGACTCTCTCTCTCTCTCCCCCCCCCCCCCTCCTCTCTCCACCACCTCGCGAGGTTGATTATACACAACGCTAACTAATTAAACCACACGAATCTTCCAAAACCTAACAGCATATTCCTCAACTAATCAACAACAGATTAATTAACAAGCATCCTTAACAACGTAATTAAGCCGAGCCGTGATCTCACTCTCTTCTCGCCCACGGCTTCCACGTTACTTACACCGCTGTGCCCCAGCCCCACCCCACTCGCCTGTCGGCTTCAAAATTCAAAGCTCATCCGAAAAATCCCCTCCGGATTTAATTAAATACAACTAATTTTAGTAATAATCGAATTATAATCATAGCTGTAAGTTACTGTTCCATGCATGAATCAGCGTACGACAGCAGATGAATAATTTGACGCAAATCCAACAGATTTTCCGGAGTGGTGAGAAAAACAGACACTAGGGTTGTCGTGTTCTTGGAGATCGATAATCTTTATCTTTCCAAACCCAATTTCTTTCTTTCTTTCTTTCTTTCTTTCTTTCTTTCTTTCTTTCTTTTTGGTTAGTTGTCTCTTTCTGTTTCTATATCCACCCCACCCCGTATGGTTGATGCATATGCATGTATAATGTATCTATGTATCACCGGAGAAATTTCAACTGACTTTTCCAATAAAAATAGAAGAATTTCTGTGAGGGTTAAAGAATAAATCTGGGCTTTACTTGTTCAGAGATAAGAATCCTTTTGAGTGGATAAAGTCGCAGTCTTGCAGAAGTTGTGGGAAGATTGAAGATAAAGGAAAGTGCACATTCGGGGGAGACTGAAAAAGGGAAAGAACAGAAGATCGCCCGAGATCGAATTGCCGGAAAGTAAGCATCGATTCCTAGCCCCTTTACTCTGTTATTTATTATTGTGAGCGAATAATTTTACTTCTATTCTCTTTCCTTTTCGCAATCCCATCTTAATTAGTTAGGGTTATCTGTGAATTACGGTTAGTTAGGATTGATTGGGAATTTGTGACGGAAAATTGCAGGCGGAATGGCGACGGCGGCGGAGCCACCGAACGGAATTTGGGCGCCGGGAAAGCATTATTACAGAATGTGGCAAACAGTGTTTGAAGTGGATACTAAGTACATTCCGATCAAGCCCATAGGTAGAGGGGCGTACGGGGTTGTCTGTTCGTCGGTGAACAGGGAGAGTAATGAGAAAGTGGCAATCAAGAAGATCAATGATGTGTTCTCCAATAGAACTGAAGCCCTGAGGACTCTAAGGGAGTTGCAGCTTCTTCGTCACATTAGGCACGAGAATGTGATCGCCTTGAAGGATGTTATGATGCCCGTTCATAGGAGAAGTTTCAATGATGTTTATTTGGTTTACGAGTTGATGGATACCGATCTGAATCATATCATCAAGTCGTCTCAGCCCCTCTCCAATGATCACTGCAAGTATTTTCTTTTCCAGGTACATATACTATCTATAGTGTTCTTGATATATGAATCTACTGCTTCAAGATTTTGTTTAGAATCTGTTCCTATGAATCTTCTAATGTTGTTTTGTATGTATTGTGAAATCAGCTGCTTCGAGGTTTGAACTATCTCCACTCGGCTAACATTCTGCACCGGGACTTGAAGCCGGGGAATCTCCTCGTCAATGCCAATTGCGAGCTGAAGATATGTGATTTTGGGCTAGCTAGAACGAGCCGGGATAATGGACAGTTCATGACTGAATATGTAGTCACTCGTTGGTATCGAGCACCAGAGCTACTTCTTTCGTGTGATAACTATGGAACCTCGATTGATGTGTGGTCTGTTGGGTGCATATTTGGTGAGCTTCTTGGCAGGAAACCCCTCTTTCAAGGGTCCGAGTGCCTCAACCAGCTTAAACTCATCATCAATGTTCTTGGTTCCCAACCCGAAGCTCATCTCCAGTTTATAGACAACTCGAAGGCCAAGAAATTCGTTCGATCCCTCCCATTCTCCCGAGGAATCCACTTCTCTTCTCTGTTCCCCCAGGCCGATCCTTTGGCGTTAGACTTGTTGCAGCAGATGCTTGTTTTTGATCCATCGAAACGAATCACAGTTACAGAAGCTCTCCATCACCCTTACCTTTCAGACCTTTACGATCCGCTTCATAACCTGCCTGCCCGCTTTCCTCTAAATCTCGACATTGATGAGAGCATTGGAGAACCCGTGATTAGAGAGTTGATGCTGAGAGAGATGCTTTATTACCATCCCGAAGCTGCTTACGCAGACGCATTTTACTAATTCTTTTAATTCAAGAAGATGAATAAGAAGAAGCCTGCAGGATATATGAGGAGCAGAAGAGGATTCTCTTATCAATCTCACCAAGTTTAGGACTTTGAATGCATCATTGGATGATTCTGTTTATCTTAGTGCTTGTTCTTTTCTTTTTTAAAAAAAAATAAAAAAAATCTATGCATTGTGTCAATGAATGTCTGAGAACCTTCTGTTGTAATTCATAGTTTTTGTAATGACAGATCAATCTCTAACATGTTATTAATGAGTAATTTTCACTTCAAATTAATGACCACATTGAAATGTACATGATTCAAGTTACTTGGTCTCGGTTCAGTAGCAGTTAGATTAGAAATGGTCTTTGGACATTAAAACTGGAAAGTATATTCACAAAAAGGAATGATTTTGTCACTCTTTTAAAGTGGCAAAACACTCTCTTATGAGTTTAAGTACTGATGAACAGAGTTACATTATGCTAACATTAAGAGATCATAGTACCTACAACCCATTTCACTCCCCGTCTCATCTCTATTCCCGTGGAGAATTTTTAAGGACGGAGAATCCCCGTCTCCAATCAAATTAGTAGTTTCGATATTTAAGTAAAAAATTTAAAAAGTTTTAATTTAAAAATCAAATTCAAATATTAATCTAGTATTAAGTCTTTAATTAAATACCGATGATGGAATGTGGTGGGGGGAGTGTATCTAGGGGTGAAAAAAAAAAAAAAAAAAAAAAAAAAAAAAAGACCGATCAAAAAGCTTACAATCAAAAATCAAACCACCCGATATTTCGGTTTCAGTTATTAAGGTTAAGAAAAAAACAGTTATTTTGGTTTTTCAGTCAGTTATCAATTTTTTAAAGAAAAAAAAAATCGAAGATTAATCTAAAAAAAAAAAAAAAAAAAAAAAAAAAAAATTAATCACATTTACATTTTGCAAGACCATAGTCTATCATATTAATTTTAATCACTTGTTGGATTGTATGGCATTTGTTAACCATATAATGTATAAATATATTTCATTTATATCTCACTAAACTGTTATTGTACTTGAGGACATTAATTTTAATTGATTATAAATACTAAGATATTGTTTTATTCTTTTAATAATTTAGTCTTTTAGCAGTAGTCAAATAAATAAAAATAATTTAGCTATTCTACTAAAAAAATTGGTTATATTTAACTGACAAAATCGTCAACTTCAGTTATATCGATTATGAAGGCTGATCGATCGATTATGAAGATTCGGTTAAAATTTCAGTTAAATAATCAAAAATCAATCCATGCTCACCCCTAGGAGTCGTTATATCGTGCACCGCGGTGCATAATCGATTATGCACCGCGCGTCAGACACTACAGTGTGTCTAAACCGATACTGGCTCACGTATTATTTTTATATTATCAAATGAAACTACAGTTATATCAAAATGATACTGTAGTTGTGGTGAAATGAAACTACAGTATATATAAAATGAAACTGAATAACATTTCACATATTTGAGTGTATATTGTACAATGAAGCTGTAATTATATTCAAATGATCATGTAGTTGTGTTTTAATGAAATTATAGTGTATATAAAATAAAATAAAATAACATTTTCACATATTTGAGTATATAAATATTGAATGAAACTGTAATTATATCGAAATGAAACTGTAGTTATGTTGAACTGAAACTGTAGTGTATACAAAATGAAACTGAAGAACAAAGTTATTTTTACCAAAGATTATATTTCTGTTCATTAAATAAAACGACGTCGTTTTGACAGTGTCGGTTTAGATACACTGTAGTGTCTGTCCCCGATGGAGAATTGATACAACTCCACATTCCTACAATAGTTATGCTGTGGGCTCGTGCCCAGCGTGCATCATGGGCACGGTAACGGTGCCGTCAGGCACCGTTATCTTCCCTCCTTTTTAAAAAAAAAAAAAAAATAATTTCAGATCGCTTCGTTATAGGAGCATATATTCACAGCTTTGTGTTCATAATTTCATAACTGTACATTCATAATTCCATAACTGTACATTCATAATTCTATAACTGTACATTCATAATTCTATAACTGTACATTCATAATTCAATAACTGTAAATTCATAATTTTCGAAGCTCTATGTTCATAATTGTAAGTTCATAATGTCAGAGTTCTATGTTCATAATTTCATAACTGTACATTCATAATTCCATAACTGTACATTCATAATTCCATAACTGTACATTCATAATTCCATACTGTATATTCATAATTCCATACCGAACATTCATAATTTTCGAAGCTCTATGTTCATAATTGTAAGTTCATAATTCCATAACTATACATTCATAATTCTATAACTGTACATTCATAATGTCATAACTGTATATTCATAATTTCATAACGAATATGCTGTTAACGCCGTTAACGGCGTTTCGAACAATTTTTTTTTTAATTAAAACAGCGTCGTTTTCACGAAAAACGACGCCGTTTTAGCGCCGTGCGCATAGCATAATTTGCCACATTCCTATCCCGTTCTTTGAATTTGGTCCTTGCCCCTATTAACCAACACAGGCCTAATTAAACTTTACACCAGACCGGGTCATGCGGCCCATTAAGACTGTTAAAATTACCGCCAAATCAGAAAACGATCAAACTATCAGGAAACGATGTGTTCATCTGAGCCTCGTCTTCGCGCCACCGAAAACCCTAGCGAATGGAGATTCACATGGGAAGCTCAGTCTCACGTCCCAATCCTCCGATTATACCTCTTCAACCCGAACATCAAACCCGCAGCTCATTGCGCCCACCTTCGCGTCGACGCAGTCTTCGAGCACTCTCTGCTCACTGTAAGCTTCTTTGAAACCGAGTGTCAAGTCGAGACCTCACTTCGAGTACCTATTCCTAGGGTTGTGGTCGATTTCGAGTCTCCTGTTCACTCGAGAACTCTCGACGATCATATTGAAGTTAAGCTCGCTCTTCTTCTTCCCGTTGATCATCCACTCGGTTCCAATTTTGATAGTATACTGAGCTCACTTGAAATAGAAGAATGCAATAGTGAAAGTTTGGCGTCGGATGGGGTAAATGAACTCTCTGCAGCCACTGGTAAGTATATTATGAATGCATTTTATTTTTTTAATCATCACCATTGTTTTGAAAATGTGATTTTTTGGGATGATCAAAGTGAACTTTTTTTTTTTTTTTTAATACATTAGCTGCTATGAATGTTTATACAATTTTGTTTCCTGTCTTTTGTGTTTTTGCTATCATCCTTATACACAACTGTAAACATTCCTATATTTAATGTTATCCAATCATTTGTATGAAGTGGATGTTTGGTGCATTGATAAGCCTTTGGCGGGTTGTTTTCTCATGTTGAGCTCAGAGGCATGCCTTAATAAAGGATGACAAAACACAAATCTTTGGCATGCTTTTTGTCAGTCCCACCCAACCCCACCACCAAAAGTAAGTGGTAAAAAATGGAAGAAGGAACTATCTTATCTGAAGATACTGAGCTTATCAAGTAAATATTCTCAGTTTTTTTGGGTTTACTTGTATGAACTTTAAGTAGCATGCTTATTTAAGAAAGACTTCTGCTTTGCATTTCCTAACCATTGAATGTCTTCCTGCAAAATGTAACATGAGGGCCTTAAAGTGTTGAGCGTTTTGGCTAAATCTCATAAGTGATAGTTCTATCATATTAAGATGTTATTCAGTTTAATTAAAGCACTTGCTGGTTTACTCAATGCAATTAGAAATTTAGATTTCCTAACACAAAAAAGTTTATTGTGCTTCATTTTTGTGTTATCCTGACTATAAATCATTTTGAACCTTAGATTTACAACGATTGTCTGCTGCTGGGGAAGTGAACTTTTACTGCAGAAATTGCACAACAAAGTTGACCAGGGGTATCAGGCAGGACCTCTCTCTCTCTCTCTCTCTCTCTGTTCACACATAGACATGCTCAGGCAATGACAAATAGACAATTAGACATACATTCTTTATATTCCCATATTAAATGGTCACATGTGGTATGTAATCTAAGTCACACTTACCCATAAATCTTCTGCTCCATCAAAATGAAAAGATGTGTGGTATATATTTTGAGAAGGTTGATTATTTTGAGATTTTGACTCCAAAAAATTGGGGTTTAGTGGTGATCAAGTACTTATCATGTTGACCCTTTGGTCATGGATTGAATCCTGGAAAGGTTGTGAATGCCTTCTATTCCAAGACCATACCTGATGAGGTAGTCTTTGCATCTAGTACTTTTCTTGAGATGCAGAATCCTACTTTGTCAATTCCTCTTAGGGTCCGTTTGGAAAGCAGGAAAATGACTTCTGGAAAATGACTCATTTTCCAGAAAACATTTTCATTTCCTGTGTTTGGCTGCACAATGGAAAACTGTCTTTTGGTGTTTGGTTCATTTTCCAGAAAATGAACAGCATAAAATTTACCAATAAAATTCTGTCCACAAAACTCCAATTCACCGCATTAATACCAATAAAATTTACACAACAAGCATAAAATTTACACAACAAGCATACCAGTTCACTGGTTTCTGCGGAAACTAGTGAACTGGTGCGAAACCAATTCACTGGTTTCTGCGGAAACCAGTGAACTTGGTTTCTGGGGAAACCAGAGAACTGGTTTCTGGTTTCCGGCTGAGGAAACCAGTGAAGAACACCACAACTAGTGAAGAATACTACACTCTAGATCTATGAAATTTGGAGAAAAAAAAAATTCAAACTGGAAAAGGATGAAACATACCTCTTGCTTTTTAAGTGTTGGTGAAGCTTTTGTGGTCGTAGGATTGTTGGAGGAGGAGGTGTTGGTGGAGTTTTCTCTGATGAATGTTGAAGGAGGAGGCAAAGTGAAGTCTGGAGTGTTCTTGCGAAGTAGCGTGAAAATGGAAAATGACTTCCCCCCCCCCCCCCCCCCCCCCCCCCCAAAAAAAAAAGGGGAAGTCATTTTCCGGAATTTTGCCCTCATTTTCCGTTGACTCAACTTCATTTTCCTTTGACCATTCCATTTTCAGCCTTTCCAAACACCAAAAACCCGGAAAATGATTTCCAGAAATCATTTTCCGAGTTTCCAAACAGACCCTTAATGAATTTCGTTATAAAGAGCCAAAATGTTTCTTTTTCAAACACATTTTATTATACATATTTTCGAATTTTTTATGGCATTCTTTTCAAGAAAATGAATTATTCAGAAAGACATTATTATATTATAATAAACTAAACAATGTGACTTGTTGCATAATTTGACTATGTCTATATTGGATTATTGGTGTACTAGGTGCATAAGGGTTAGAGAGTTCAAATTGTTTCCAATCAGTGGTGATGAATAAAATATGGTTCAACAGACTTTGCATGAGCAAATAATTAAATTTAGGGCTTTTGGAACTTTGAACTGAGCCGTTAGGCTTACGGATTTGGTTCTTAGATGGTCATTACTCTTTATTGTATACTTGTTTAGGTACATAACTGCAAATGACTTCATATTGTTGCTCTATAACTTTTATGCAGAGTTTTCAAAGAGATGCCATCAGCTAACTGGAGAGAAGTTGCAGACAATTGGTTTGGGACATGTTGTTGCTCATTTGGGGGTGTAAGTGAAAAGCTGGTAATGAATTATGCGAAATCTTATTATTGTACAGCAGGCTTGTGTCTATTGAGTACAACATCTGTTATTATAAGCACAGATGACCTTCTGGAGTGTGAACTCCCTGAAAGGAACAAACTCAAGAAATATGATTCTGAACTGAAATCAGACGACATCAGTTATTTGAATAAATCCATGCTTGGTAATGAGAATGATCAACAGAAAAATGTCTGCTTCGAAAATATTTGCAAAGAAGTGCAGGGAACTAACAAGAGCCACTTTGTAAATTGTTGCGCTCTTGATCCATGTGAATATCTTTTGGGGCAGCATGAATCTGTTGTGGATTTGGAACTCCCTGTGAATCAAAAAATATTTCTGAATGGTTTTCTTGGAGATGCTTTCATGGCAAGACCCTCCAATCTTTCAAAAGATATTGAATGGATTGAATATTTTTGTCCCAAATGTTCATGTCTTCTTGGTGCATATCCTAGCCATAATGATCGTGTACCTCTGGATGGTGGAGTTCGTCTCTATAAATTCTACATTTCAACTTCTTTTCCTGCCAATGGAGCTTATGATTTATTTAGGTTAGCTACTTACTTAAGCTTTGTGCTTTACCTTCATTCATCTTTCTTTCCTTATTCGTTTGAGAAGAATACACTAACTAATAAGTTCCAAGTACAGGAATTATAGCTTTGAGAGGATGTTCACAAGTCAGTTGCTTGAAAGTGCAAAGGATGAACTATCATTTAGGACTGTGGTTAGAGATCTGCATAACAAATGTCATTCCCTACAAATTGTTCTCTTGAACCCAAATGCATGGAGCTATGCTGGATTTTGTTTGCATGCCTTAGAACCAGCTCCCAAGATTAATGTGTATCCTGTGATCAAGGTGTTATTTTCTGCTAACAACAATGATGTGCAGCTTGAAACTAGGTGTGCCTTTCAACTATCATATCTTACAAAACCAGATGTTTAATTTATACATGTGTGTATTTGTGTGCATATTTACCTTATACCATCCCTACCCCCTTTTTCTTTTACATCTGGATCGGGGAGAGTTTCAGGTGTGGTTATGGAAAGTTGAATGTTGGGACCTCACAAGGCCTTTTGCATTCCACTTCCTAATAGAAGGACAAAAAAGCAGTTTCATAAGATAGTTTCAGCAGGTAGTATCTAAGAAAGATTCAAAATATAATGGTTTATTCAAATCTTGTGTTATACGGGAGAGACAAGCAGTTCATAAAAATGATGTGGAAAGTTTATCTATCCAAGAGACTCTTTATCTTTTTAAAAATGGAACAATTGGTTGCTTGTTAACTATGTATCCTAACGAAATATATTTGATTATCAAAATTTTAGGCCATTGAGAACAACTGCTTGAAGGCTAACTGATCTGATCAAGAAAATACAAACACTGAATTTAAGGTCATGTATATTTTTGTACATGTGATGGGCTTTGGCAGGCATTGTATATGGATCATATCCTTCGTTACAGCATTTAATCACAAAATATATGTGCCACATGTTTTAATATTAGTTCTGAACACCTTTTCCCTTTTTTGACCTGACTGGAGACTTATTGACCAGTCCAAACATACAAAGAGTTTGAGATGTGATCATGTAGGGTATAACTTGTTCTCTCAAATGTATTTTCTTAAGGTGTGAATTTTATGCAGGAGCATAGAAGAATGGGTAACAAAGAAGCAAGCTCAAGAGGTTTACCTGTTGCCATCTCAAATAAAAGAACTGATTGCAAGTTTGAAGACTGCACATATAACATATCCACAGTCGCATAATTTCTCACAGGGGTTTTCTGTGTCATCCCTGAAAACATGAGTTTATCTTTAATTTATGGATCCCATGTGATTCTGTATCCAAAATACCATGAAGTGTAAACAATCTGATCCAAGTGGTCTCAAAGATTATAAACCGTGTGGTGACCTTGTGAGTTTGCTAGCCAAATGCTTAGCTCATATAAACTTTTATGAATTTTGGAGGCAGTAGCTATTAAATATGTCAATGAGAAATTCTGACATCCAATGTGTATGAACTTTGTTACATATGTAAGATTAGTTCTTGACATAACTGCAATGAATTTGATTGTAACTTTTGATAGTGGGAGAGTATGTTTGCCTTGCTAGATGTTACTGTATAGTTGTTGTTTTTTTCTCATAGTAATTAATTAGTGCATTGTCCAAGTGTTATGGGGTAATAAGTTTGCAGTATCTTTTAATAAAATCAAATCTAGTAGTGCCCAATCACCAGACTCAGTCATAAAGGGTTGTGCAGTGGATTCCATCTTTAGTTCATGGTTGAAGCATAACTTCAAAATTACAGGGGGCTGAGAATAAGTTGTGAATTAGGAACAGGAACAGGAACAGGGAAACATGTATATATTTTTCGTGATTGTATTGGTTGCTTTCATGTTTGTTTTGCTGTTTCTAACCAGATTTTAGACACGTGAATTATATACTGTAAAACTTTTGCTGTAAAAAGTGGGTAGCACCATTGCTTGTTTTAGTGGTGAAGGAAGATTAGGTGAAAGGGCATTGACAATGTACTAGAAGACAGGATATAAAGCAGCCGCGTGTTAATATTCTGAGGTGAATTATTATAATTGTGTACTGAAAAAGTTGATAATGGTGATGAGGCTCAACGTTGAAAGGAAAGACAGTGGAAGTGTAATGGTACTATCCCTTTTTCGGTAAGTCAATGATTCCTTTGATAGATATCATTCTTCTTTCTTCCTTTTTCTCAGATATCACACACACTGGGGCAAAGGATTGGAATCCGAATATCAATCCACCAAAGATGCATTTGCCCACAGATAGATATATAGCCTTCCTTCCACAGCCACAGGTATGTACTCTAATTTTTGGTTAGTTTTTGATTAATAATTGAAATAACTAAAAATTTTAATTTTAGTGTTGAATCGACAAGAACAAATAAAACAGGGCATTTCTCTGAGTGGTTGAAATCCTGTCTCCCTGAAAGGACAAAAATAAATTAAAGCAATTAAGCATGCGGTAGGTGTGTTTTCCACGTCCTTGACAATCATGGATGATTACAGGCTACATAGTACGATCATATTCATATAATCATATTCATTCTTGCTTTTATTATGTATTGGCTGCCGTAAAGTGTGAAATACTATACATATCCATGAATCCATATATACTTTGCCCTGCATATCTATCAGGTACTGTTACATTACATGTGAATGTATTTTTTATGGGAGATAGATTCACAAAAAACGATGCCATCCTAAAGCAACACGTCTTTGTCGTCCTGACCATGTATGTTAATAATAATGGTGTACGGAATTATATATATATATATATATTATGCTTTTTGAAATGGAAGATTATTAAAGTGAAAGCTAGCTAGGAAATCTATATCTCTAGAATATGATCGATAAAGAGCAATGCGCAGAAAGTTATTCTTGAAAAGCTAGTATAAATAGAGGGCGGGGGAAATTATTGGAGAACATATATACATATATAGATATATAGCAAGAAAGAAGAGAGGCATTACATGGGGATGAAGTGTCGTTTTGGTAGCCAAGGATGACTTGCCTGCACCATTGTATTCAATTCAATGCATATGAATGGTTAGTTGAATTGAGCATGCATATATGGAGCAGGCAATCTCCTTGGCTATCCTCATCGCCTCTTCCTTTCGTGCTATGCCCTTCCATCTCTTCTCTACCTTTTTCTTCTCACCAAAATATATATATTTATATATAATAATACAGTGATCATTCATGCACACAGTAAATATATGTACACTTTGCATATTTATAACTAGCCATTCTCCCAATCGTTATACCCTGCACCACGACGCATAGAACACTGTGTGTCCCGCGCCTCCCAAAACAATGTCGTTTTGGGAGGTGCGGTAGGGAGTATGTGAATTTGTTTATTCAATTATGTGTATTTTTTTTATACAATTATGTGAAACGACGTCGTTTTGCATCAATGCAATGCGCGTCCTGGTGTACGATATAAATTTGTCACTTTTACCAAGCTCCAACAAACATAGTATTGTCATTTTTAGGTTTGCAGGCTTGCAGTCCCATCTGGTCTCATGTCCAGACTCCAGAAGAGAATCAGAGCAATATGCATATATAATCTATGCATGGTTTGCAATACCAGATAACAGATCCAAATTGTTGTTGGGCCGACCTTGTATGTGTAACCATAGGGATAATATATAGGGCCGGCCCTGCAAATTAGATCATTGTCCAGGATCTGCTTTGCATTGTGAACCTGGTCCAAAATAATATTTTATATTATGTACCAACAATTAAATTAACATATTATGCATGTATTTTGAATTTATTTACTTATAAATAATCCAGTACATATATTAATTGTAAGTATTAATCCTGCTCTATCGTACATATGGTAAATTTTGGTTCATAATATAACAATTGCACAACATCATAGGACTCCCACTCTCATGCATGCCATTTAATTTTAGGCCAATTTTGCTGTGGATCATGGTCTATGTAGTAGGGTGGACTATGAAGTATGTATTATTTTAATTGTACTTCAGTTTTATTTGACAATATTACTATATTTTTTAGTTTTATTTTTTCCTTCACACTAGTTTCATTATAACAATATTGATGTATCATTTTAATTATACTATAATTCATTTGATACTATATATTATTGTTTGAGCTCTATTTTTTTGTTTTATTTTCCATACACTAGTTTAATTATAGTAATGTTGAAATATTATTTTAATTGCACTTAAGTCATTTGACAATATATATTATTGTATAGTTCCTGATTTTATATCATTTTTCACGCACACTAATTTCGTTATAGTAATACTAAAATATTATTTTATTATACTACAGTTTCATTTGACAATAATGTACTCTGTTTTTAGTTTCATTTTTCACTCACATTAATTTCATTATAATAACATTAAAGTATTATTTTAATTATAATATACTTTCATTCGACGATCATGGTTGATATATATATTTTTATTAAATTTAAGATTTTGTTTATTTTTTGACCATAATCTTATCTGAAAGCCGACAGACACACTCGTCGACTGAATACTGCACCCACGTTAATGTATAAGCTTGGAAGTGATATTAAATTGCAAAGCTAGAATGTACGTTCCACGTGTAAGCCATATACTCAATTCCAGTTTCACATGCATTTGCAATCTTCATCTGCAACTTAATCTTCTGCCCATCCTTAGCTTCATCATTATCACTTCTCTCCTCCTGCCTCCTGCTATATATATAATCACAATCTGCACAAATCCAATTCAAGTAATTAATCACAGTTGCATGTTATCAGAATATCTATCAGCTTTTTTGAATTGAAGAGATACATATATATATTGCGCGAGAATTGAAATGGCTCAGTATGGAGATCAACATCACTACGGCAGCGGCGGAGGCCGCCGGACGACGGACGAGTACGGCAACCCCGTGCGCCAGACTGACGAGTGGGGGAATCCCGTCGGTGACAAAGACGTGTGGGGAAACCCCGTCCGCAGCCAAACTGATGAGTACGGCAACCCTGTCCACCACGGCGGCACCGGTGGCTCCTTGGGACAGTACGCAAACACCACCGCAGCCACTGGGCCGACAGGCGGCACTTACGGTGGTACCACTGGCACGGCCGCTTACGGTACCACTGGCATCGGCATAGGCGGCGGGGAGCACTACAGGCCACATGAAACCGCCGGAAAGGAGCACCATGGTACTATCGGCGGCATCCTCCGCCGCTCTGGGAGTGGAAGCTCTAGCTCTGTAAGTAACTTTTCATCTATATTATATTATGGCCCTATTTGGTAAAATAGCTGTTAGTTGTTAGCGATTGTGTTAATTAAAAAGTATAAATAGTTAATAACATTAGCTGATTGTAGAAAAGTGTTATCTAAATTAGCTGTTAGCTGATAGCTGATAGCTGTTTGGTATAATTTTTTTTCTCTAAAGCTAATTGAAAAAGTTGCTTGGAGTAGCCTTTTGAAGTTGCAAAAAGTTAATTAACCAAACATTTATATTGATATTTTAACTAAATCAAACAATTAATAGTTGTCAAATAAGCTAAAATTTTTTACCAAAGAGGGCCTATATATTATTTGAGTTGTGAGTGAATTATATGAATATGAATGTGAATGCAGTCGGAGGATGACGGGCATGGCGGAAGGAGGAAGAAGGGGATGAAGGAGAAGATAAAGGAGAAACTGCCGGGCGGTGGTCATAAGGATCAAGATTATTACCAGTCCCAATCCACCACCACCACTACTGGCTATGGAGGAGAAGAGCATCACGAGAAGAAGGGTATTATGGACAAGATTAAGGAGAAGCTCCCCGGCGGCCATCATTAAACCAATTAAGACCCTTAATTTCCGATCAGATCAGATATTCCATCCTCATATATACAATATTATAATAAATAAGCTAAGGTTGTCCCGTCTTTAATGGTATAGGAAATAGGAAATATATATAATAATAATAATGTTAATCTTGTATTTTGTATGTGGGGGTGTCCCGTCGTTGTAAGCACGGTGGTATGGCCATATTTACTTGCTACTCCACCATATCACTTCTGAGGATGTATTATATTGAAGGAGAATAATATGATGTTTTTTGTGTTTACTGTATTGCTTTTAATGTGTCTTTATTTTATTTTTTAAATTTATGTCAAATAATTTCAGAAATCATTTTTAAGAGTTATGGAGAAAGGTAAATTGTAAATCATTTATTTAACTTACTTAAGTTCTTAAAATTTTGATTTTTTCTCAACTCAAGAGCAGTTGGAGGAAGTACTCTGTCTAAGTTGTTGGAGAAAGGTAAATTACAAATGGTCCAAGTAGTTTAATTAAGTTTCTAAAGCTTTAACCCAAAAAAGTCGTTGGTAGAAGTATTCTACTTAAATTGTTGGAGAAAGGTAAATTACAAATGGTCTTATCAGTCTAATTAATTACTCCGTCCCATTTTACCTGTCTTACTTTTCTTTTTAGTTTGTTTCAAAATGTTGTCCACTTTCCTAAATTAAACACTACTATCATTCTATTTTTTCAATTTTGCCCTTATGTGCATTTCATATTTTGAGTTAATTTATTGTACTTTGTACTATGTAGTACAAGTAATTTGAGTATAAAGTGATAGAAGGGTCAAATCATCACATGGCATGTTGGGGGTAAAATTGAAAAACTAGTATTCTTTTCATTGCTTCCTAAAAATCTGTGTAAATGTAAAGTAAGACACATAATTCGGAACGGGGGAGTAATTAAGTTTCTAAAACTTAAGTCCTCGAAGGAGATCAGATATCCTATCTAATTAGTAGTTCTAGAATTTTTAAGTTGAGGGATAAGAACATAATTAAAGTACATTCAAAAAAAAAAACATAATTAAAGTTAAATATTTTAATTATAAGTTTATGTGCAATTAACCTTCTAGTGCAATTAACTTTCTAGCTAGTTAACATATTAACTTTTTATTTTTATGCAATTGATTAAGCTTCTAGAATAATTCTAAAAGTAATTCTAAAATTTTAAGGATAAAGGTTAAATAATAAATAGAGTTAATACTAACCAAGGTCTCTCGAGTACAGTGGTTCCGCCAGCTATAGTCCTAAACTTTCAAACCAATCTTTTGTGGTTCTTCAAGTTTCAAAAATGACTAGCAATAATCTTGCTGTTAGTGTTTTCCGTTTGAGCGGTGAAATACGAGGGTATTATAGACCTTTCACAATTTTCTCACCCAAATTGATGGCAATTGAAGAAATTGAGAGGCTATCGAGAGCGATTTGAAGGGGATTTAGGGAATTAAGAGGAAGAAGTTGGGGTTGGGAGGTGGGGAGCTTTTGGAGGCGCAGCGGCTAGGTAGGTGGCTTTGAAGGAGGGAAACGGTGGTGAGCGGTTGCAGGGAAGAACTGTGGAGTTAACGAAAAGTCTTGTAGACTCCCTACGGCAGTTCAATTACCTTAGGCCTTAGTTACCAACGAGTTGTGCCCATTAATTTGCTTGTTATGCAGTCATCGCTTTCGAGTCCTCCAAAGAAGCAGAAAGAGGTGATTCCTTCTTCGGGGAGCTCACAACCACCTCCTCCTCCTTTCCGACCAAATCTCCACTTTCCGGCGCTTGCTCCGTTGCCGGCGGCTTGATTTTCAATTCCACCTTCATCGGCTCCACCGTTGGATTTGATTGTGAATTGATTGAACTGCCCAAACCATATAACAAAGAGCCACCACCATTTTGAACTGGTGTTTCCTTGAAATTTGGGGAAGAAGAAGCCGATGACGGGCTTGAAAATGGGACGGTTTTTCCCATCTCTGTCCAAGCAAAAAATGGTGTTCCCATAGATTTTAGTAATATATACTTGGATATCCAAGGTCTTGATAATTCCACTATCCCCATTAGGAAGGCAATACTTAATGTGGGTCAGTGTTGTATATATGAAAACTCCATTGTCATCCCAGGCTCCACTCTTAAGACAAATATCACAACCATGTCCTCTGCCCAGCACAGTACATTTCCAGTCCCAGCATAAAATATTGCATCTTTAGCAATTGGAAGAATACTTTTCTTGACAATTTCATTTTTGAGATTCTTGACTAGAACTTGATTGGTACTCTTCTCAAGCACCGCAAACCTCTGTCCAGCAATAAACACTGCTGATCCTCCACTTCCTCTCTTTGCATCTTGAACTGTATCACCTCTCCCATAACTGTCTTTGGGCACAACATATAGTTCATAAGAACCACCATCCATATCTGAACATATTAAGACAGCATTTTCAGTAGCACTGTATGACAGGGTTCAGGGACCTTGATTTAAGCTGTTTGAACCAGGCCTACGAATTGGTATCAACTGTGTGTCTTTCTGAGTTGAATACTCATAGATACGAAGGAACCGGTCTTTAACATAAAACAGATAATCTCCACTCACAGAAAATGCAGGGCGCTCCCTCTCTAGCTTGAACACTATCATCCCACTGTCATGCCCAGCTGCTTGAACACTATTCTCCGAAACCTGCCTTGGTCTCTTCCTCTTCGAAGCTGAAATTATTACCAAAACAAAACAAAAAGAAGAAATCAGAGAAAAAGAAAGGAATAGAAAAATGAAAGACTGTTTTGGAATCTCACCAACAACAGAAAAGGGAGTTGTCGACGAGGAGTTCGGCACCGTAGGCAAAATCGCCGGCGACGGAGAGTCAGAAACCGACAATGAGACACGGGATTTCGTATCGCAACAGTGGAGAGTCAGAAACCAGCGATGAGACGGCGACAATGGAGGTGCGAAGGCGTCCAAGTTGAAACTGGACCCTGTCTCACCGGCGAAGTCAAAGCTTGAAAATTATGAAAGTTGTGAAAGGTCCATAATGCCCCTGCATTTCACGGCTCAAACGGAAAATAGTAACGGCAGGACTATTGCAGGTCATTTTTTAAACTTGGAGGACCACGAAATGTTGATTTAAAAGTTTAGGACCATAGGTGGCAGAACCACTATATTCAAGGGACCTTGACTGGTATTAACTCATAATAAATATGAGAGTTAGTTAGACATTTTAACTTTTTATTTTTATACAATTAATTTAATTAATTACACCCAATAATTTTTTTAATTTTAAAAATTAATTAAAATTAAAATATATTTTTTAATTAGATAAAAAAATTAAAAACCTTTCTAAAGGCTTTCCCGTCCACCGAATAGTGAAGCATGTCTACTTTCTGAGTTGATTTTTTCCGTCAAACCAAACAGAGAAACTGGCCTGACCTGGTTTCTTTGTCCAATTGGACAAAGAAGTCTGCCATAACTTCTCCATCTAGTTGGACAAAGCCTACCATGACTTTTCCGTTCAACATGACAAAATGTCAAATTGTCAGCTTCTCCTTTGAGGATATGTTGGTAATCTTTTTTTAGTTTTATTTTTTTTTTAAATTTTACTTGCTATTATCTTGAGTTCACCTGTAAAATAAGTTAATTGTACAATTTTAAGAAGTTATTAGTTAAATTGCATAAAAGTGAAGAGATGAAGTGTTTAATACAAATTTTTTTAAATTTAAGAACTAATTGAACTTTGATTAGTAATTGAAGGACATTGATTGAAATTATTGCCTATATAAAGACCATGACACGCACACAAAGAGGGGGGAGGGGGAAGGGGAAGGGGACTTCTTTTCCTCTCCTCTACTCCCTCTCTAGAAGATGAAACACTATCTACAACTCCGAAGAGGAGGCCATTCTCTCTTCTACTTGAGAACACTAAATAAGAAAAGGCTACGGTCTCTTCTTCTTCATATATTCGTGCATACAAATATAATAATGACAACTTAGCCACACTCCTCTACTCTCTCTCTCTCTCTCTACAAGATTGAAGAACAACAGTGAATAATAGCAAGGTCTCAGGCAAGAGATGAGACTGATAAAAATTGATCACTAGATCATGTTAAAAATTTGATCACTTGATCGGTAGCTTCAATCTCTTCCTCGTGTCAAGATCCGATCTCTTGATCGGTAAATTCAGACCTCTTAAATCCTCAGTCCTATAAGTTAGGCAAATCGCACACCTATACTATAAGTATGGTCAGATTGACGTCCTGAACACTAGCACCGTGAACCCGATATGGTCACTTTTCGACCGCAATCAAAATTGAAAATGAGCTCAGGAGGCCATTATATCTACTCCCTTGTGCTGACGATTCTCGCAACACAGGGAGTGGGGGGCCATCGGTAGAGTTATAGGGCAACCCCATTAGTCTATGAAACTCACTAATGCATTTCCCGATCACAATGCACTTCCTGAATGTAATGCACTTGGTGATCATAACACACCGTAACACACTCCCCGAGTATAATAACCTTCCCGGTCTCGTTATCGTTAGACTTTCGAGTCTCCAAGTGTCCCTCCACGTGGGACTCTCGCTTCGTAAACCGAGCATAAAAAGGGAGAAAACACCCTATTTAGATGATTTTGGTTTTCAAAACGCATCATAATGATTAATGTGGATAATCAAAATTAACCAAACACGATCAGCTAATAAGAACGATTGTAAAACTAGGTAATCTAGGTCAAGGTTTGACCAGGCTCAAACTAACTACAATAGATTAGCCCGAGAAAAGGGCATGGGGAGAAGTGTTCCCATTTATGATCGATAAGATCAATAGAGGTCCTTGGACCGTGAATAAATCCAATCTCTTAATTGGTAAGACTTGATCACTATATCTCACTAAAAATTCATCCAATCTCTCGATTGGAGAAACTCAATCTCTAGATCAATAAAATTTGATCTTTTAAATCATGCTAAAATATTTTGATCCCAGATCGTGAGTAAATTCAATTCCTTGATTAGTAAAATCAAATCTCTAGATCAGGAATGATAACAATTTAAAAATCGAAAAATCATGGAACACTCTCTATAACTCTAGAGGATGTCATTTTCTATTATGCTTGAGAACACTTAGGCCCTGTTTGGTAAAAAATTAGCCTATAGGCCAATTTTGACTTATGTCAGTTGTTATGCCATGGAACCGTGTTCACCATGGTTGGTGAACACGGTTCCATACGACGCCGTTTTGAGTGAGTGGGACTAACGGTGCCCGTAAGTGGCACCGTTAACTCCCACCACTCACATTATTTTTTTTTTTTTAAAA